GGGATTATAGGTGTGTGCTATTGTATAGACCTGTCTCCCCTATTTTTGGTTTTCAGAGACAGCTTTCTCTAATAACAGTTCTGGTCTGTCCTGGAAATGACTTTGTAGACCAAGCTGGCCTCAGACTCACAGAGATCCACCTGCCTCTACCTCCTGAGTGCTGGGATTAAAGGTGTGCACCAGTGTCCAGCCTGTCTCCTCTTTTTTAAATAGCATGGTTTCTTAAGGTCTTAAGGAAATTTTTTACATTTTAATTGTGTGTGTGTGTGTGTACATGTCGTACCACAGTATGAGCATGGGGGTCAGAGCACAACTTGTGAGAGTCTGTTCTCTCCAAAATGTGGGTCCTGAGGATCAAGCCATCAGGCTGCGTACCAGACACCTTTACCTGCCGAGCCGTGTGGCTAGTCCTTCTCCCAGTCCTTTTAAACTATGCTCCAGTTTGCAAAGTCAGAAGTACGTGGAGTTGGTAGCACAAGACGCGCTTGTTCCAGTGAGCCAATACAGACAGGCTGTCAGTTGCCCTCCATGGGGCTCAAGAGCTGCACTGCATACCCCTTCCCTCCCTGTGAACTCCCGAATTCCCAGGGTATGGCAGCAGCCCATACCCCAGAACTCCACAGCAGATCAAAATAGGTTACTTTGCAAGATGAGAGCATCTTAACACCTTTTCCACAATCCTCCAATTCCTTGAAAACAAGCCTAAAGCTTTGGCTCTCAGAATTTGTTCCTCAGAATAATTTCCTAAGCCACAGTGACTTCGGGGCCACCCATTTCTGCCTTCCTCAGAAGAGGCATCTTTTAAGATGATTGTAATTCATCAAGATGCCAGAGAATGAAAATTCTATTTTCTGCACAGAATGAAAGTTGCATAGACTTTTGCTTCGCAATTGAGGGAAAAATAGTGCTTTTTCCAAGTAAAAGGATTCAGCTGGGACCTGCCACTTCCGGGAACCATGCACTCAGGGTTGGGAAGGGGGACGACCTGGAGTCTGGGGGCTCTGTTGGCTTTGTGGCATTTATTCTCATATTGTCAGTTGATTTGAGAGTAGGTCACTTATTTTTCAGGGCTCTGGAAGCTGACTGTCAGTCTGGGAGTATACACACACACACACACACACACACATACACACACACACACACACACACACCCGCCCGCCTCCTCACAGGGAATGCCAAATGCATTCTAGGTTAACTTCTCCCCGGAGTGCCAGAATTTCAATCTCCTCACTTCTGCCCACCCTCTCTCCTTCCCCTAAGGCACCCCTCGAGACACATGAGTTCTCCAGGGGCTGCTGCCAAAGGTGGTAGAGCGGGTAAACCTTCCTCCCACCCCACCACAGATTTTTTAATTTTCATCTCCGCCAACTGTCGAGGAAGTAGATCACACAAAGGAATGCCGTGCCTTAGGGCTAAGGGGATTCTCTGAGCAAATCGGGAAGAAGAATGGGGGGCAGGGTAGAGGCAGAGACCCTTGGGAGAAATAATTAAGGCTGGCAGGGAAAGGCTGTGTTAATTGAGCTGAGCCGAAGATGAGCATCTGGGGATTCCTTCAAGAGACTGGGATTTCCTGATAAAGTCTTCCTTACATGGTTGCATTAATCTTTGGTCACTATAAGAAAAATGCTTTTTAGAGAAGAAAGGTATCTATGAAAACAGTTACGGCAGACATAGAGCTGGCTGGTGAACTAAATAGTGACCACAGAGCATAAATAATTAATTAATTAATTAATTAATTAATGATAGATAGATAGATAGATAGATAGATAGATAGATAGATAGATAGATGTGGAACAGAAAGCAGCTTGGCCAAAGCCTGGTTTCCTCATGGTGAAAGGAAACCGGAATGCATTGACTCCTGGTAGGAAGACTGCTGGCTTATGGACAGGATGCCCGAGGTTGTGTGCTGATGTGCTCCATATCTGCCCTGCCCTCCAATATTTATGTCACAGGGTCACAGGGCTGTCTCTAAATTAAATAGACATTTGTTTAATATTTCCTTTTGAGTGTGATTATTCTTTTTGTAAGAAGGAAAGGGGGCAGGAAAGGGTCTTAGTGTGCCCTATGTGACTGAGAATGCACAGAGATCCTCCATCCATGCTAATGGGATCTTTTCTCAGTTTTGAAGATTTCTGTTGTGTAATGTACAGTACAGGAACACAGCCATGATGTGCACGTAGTGTGTGCATGGCCAAATAAATGGCACCAGTGAACTGGCATTATCCATCACCCAGGTTGAGCCATAGAATTGTGCTGGCACCCAGAAACTCCAAGTCTCTTCCTCATCATGGTCCGTTCCCTCTGCCATCCTAGAGGGAACCCTCACCTGGTATTGATGATAATCAGCTTCTTGCTCTCCTGTATGGCTTACACCTATATTCTCTGACTCATTTTTCTATGTCATGTTGGTAAGATTTGAGTATGTGGTTGCATGTGGCTGTAGCTTGTTCATTTTTATTCCTGCAAAATATTTCATTGCAACCACAGATCACAGCTGGCCCATCATCTCACTGTTGATGGACACTGTTGGTGGCATGAGGCTGATGCAGGGCTGCGATCTTGTTACTTTTTATTTTTATTTGGCTGAGGGTAGAACTCGTGGACTGGGGCATCCGAAGTCTGGAGATCAAACTCAGGCTTGGTGGCAGGCAGTGTCCTAGAACTGCTGTTGACGTACTTCCTGGTGCATAAATGTCTTCAGGAGGGGAGCAGCGTCATGATCGCGAACACATTTTTAAGTGGTAACCGCTTCATTTAGATGTAAAGCATGTCTTGTGTAGTCCTTTCATCTAAAGGGTACAGTCAAGTGGTACTTGATGTAATCGCAGACTTGTGAAGCCACATCATCCGACAGTGGGAACAGCACACATACTAGAGGCTTTTTCGTTTGGGTTTTGGTTTGATTGGTTGGTTGGGTTTGGGGTCATTTTTTAAATTTCACTTGTAACGGGCTGAGAACTCAGTGGTGCACAGGGTGGCCAGAGCTGCTGGGGGCCATTGTAGTTTCCCTTTGTTTCTGAGGCAGGAAGGTGTGGAATTTGTAACCTCTATGAATCTGGCCCTAGATGGCCTATGGGTCTCTGACCTGGGCAGTCAAACACAGTGATTTTAGCAGGCACCGGCTGTCTGTCTCTGAAGTGATGCCTTCCCCGACTCCCAATTTGACTTTGGTTAGACTTAGGACTTCAGAAGGATTTTCTAGAAGCCTGTTAGGGGGTGTGAGATGGGAAACCTGGGGTGAGGAGGCTCAGGGACATTGGCACCATCCATTGGGAGAAACCTGTGCTACTTGGTAGTGTGGCTGTGTGATGACCCATGGGGTGGGTGCTGGTAGGGAGTAGGGAGTTTTCCAGCCTGCAGTGGTTTGGCCAGGGCAACCAGAAAAGAAGGCTGAATGGTCCCCAAGAAGGACTGGGAGGAGAAGCTGGGGATGTTTGGACAAGGAGGCCCTTTGAAGTGTTTCTCTTGTGTATCGTCCCTAGCCCAGGCCTGGACCCTCCCCTCCATAAAGCCATCAGCTTCTGGAGCCAGCCTTATCACTGTCCCATCTCTCTAAGTTCTAAGTTCACAGACCTCCTATCTTGAGGTGGAGGAGGATTTATGGGGGGTCTGGGAGGGGGAGGGACATCCCTTAGAGGAGGCCGTGAAGTCGGTTAGAAAAGTCGGAGTTGTTAGTGGCCCCGCTAAAGGCCGGATCATTTCCGAGCTGGTTCTACATGACAAAGGCTAAGGAGCAAATCTCTCTTTGATCTGCTCTGCCCCTTGCCGGCCCCACACACCTGCCTGTTGGTGCCCAGCCCCAGCTGAGACCTCAAGCAGGAAAACCAGAAGGGGTGGGGAACAGGCACGTCCCAACTCTGAATCCTGCTCCGGCCATCCTCCTCCCTTCGTGGCCCCAGATCAAACATATTTCCCAGACCGATGGTCTAAAAAGCATCTGCTGCTGCCCCCTCCCGGAGAGTCTAGAGATCCAGAAGCTCAGCATCGGCATGGTGAGCTGGGACTGCCCGGAGGTGTGTTGTGCCTGCCTGTGCACTCGTGTGGGGTGCGGGGTGTGCGTGTGCGTGTGCGTGTGTGTGCGTGTGCACGCGCATGTACTGGAAATGAGGAGAACCTAGATGTAGGTGGCATTTGGTCAATTGCTCTAGGATGCCAAAGTTGTATATTCCAAATGTCCAAGCTTTTCCCGGACTGGCGTGTTTCACCCACGGCAAAGGTGGCAGCATCAGTTCAGCAAGGGAGGGGCAGGACCTCCCGGAAGGTTTGAGAGAAGTGGCCCAGAGCTGGTGGTGTTCAAATGCTACTGGACTCACATTCCATGTGGCCCTTCAAAGGCCAAAGTGTTGGGGGAGGAGACTGCTCGCCAAAGCGTGCTCCCGTGAGTCTCCTGCACGGCCTCGGAGTAAAAGGGCATTGATGTTCTCCCGCTATTACTCCTGAAGCTTAAACAAGGATTTGCATTCAGAAAACTTCCAAGCAGGAAGGGCACAGCCTGTTTGGGTGTAGTCATATCCAATTCTGTAGGTGTTTAACCCTTAACCCCTGCACAGAAGGGCCTGATAGAGAGTTACATCTCGGGACAGGAGTGGGTGGTTTTTTTGTTTGTTTTTTAAGTGGGAGGATGCCCTTGTCTCTGTCCTCTTGTCCTGGGCTCTAGAAGGGCAGGTGTGCGTCTTAATTGCTGCACGAGGCACACTTTTCTTGAAATGTCTGTTTTCATTTGCTTCACAGCTTGTTACAGGAACTGGGTCCTGAGTAGTAGTCCCACAGTGTAATGTAAGGGACTCAAAGGCCCTGTGGTGAGCAGTTACCCAGTGAGAGGAGGCTGGAAAGGACTGAATTTCTCGAGGGATGGGTGGGGGTGGGTGGGCAGAATTTGCCATCAGGTCCCTCCCACAGCTCATCCTTTGAGCTTTTCTGCACTCTATTCATCTCTCCTGGGCTCCTCATGTCTGTGGTATTTGCATGCTGACTACTCCCCTTTCCTTCTCTCTCTCCAGGGAGCTCTGCTTTGGAAGATGTTGGTCCCAGGGCACTGGGATGGGCTGAGGTTGACCATGCCCAGCCTGATGGTGATGTTTACAGCAGCTCTGCTCTCCAGCTGGGCCCAGCTACTGACTGACGCCAGCTCCTGGTGGTGAGTGAGAGGGCTAACCTGGACTGATACCAGCTCATGGTGGTGAGTGAGAGGACTGAGGGCTAGCCTGGACTGATGCCAGCTCCTGGTGGTGAGTGAGAGGACTGAGGGCTAGCCTGGACTGATGCCAGCTCCTGGTGGTGAATGAGAGGACTGAGAGCTAACCTGGACTGATACCAGCTCCTGGTGGTGAGTGAGAGGACTGAGGGCTAGCCTGGACTGATATCAGCTCCTGGTGGTGAGTGAGAGGACTGAGGGCTAACCTGGACTGATACCAGCTCCTGGTGGTGAGTGAGAGGACTGAGGGCTAGCCTGGACTGATGCCAGCTCCTGGTGGTGAGTGAGAGGACTGAGGGCTAGCTTGGACAGACCTTGAGCTTCTTGAATAATCAAGATGTGAAGCAGGGCCCCAAGGGAGTGATCACACCATTATCTGAGAAATACCAGGTCCCTCTTCCATCCCAGGAAGGCTGGGAGAGCTCATTTTCTCCCTTAGGCTCCCAGAGGTGAGGTTTTCCTGAGAAGAATATAAGCTTTGTTCGTGTGATTTTTTTTCCCCCTTAGATCTTGTCTAAAACCTTTTCTGGAGGCCTCCCACCCTGTGAATTGTTACAAAGAGTTTTTATTGTTATTTATCCAACAAAAAGAATATTAGTAGCATGAATGAGACCCTGAAATCCGTTCTTAGAAACACACACACACACACACACACACACACACACACACACACACACACATCATTAAGGCTGAGGCAGGCAGACCAGTTGAGCCCAGTAGTTGAAGGTCATCCTGTAGAGCACAGTGAGACCCCCCCATCACAAAATAGGTGTGTAAATATTTGTGTGTGTATGCATGTGTGTGTATACTCTTGTATATTATGGTGTTGTTATCTCTCTGTGTGTTTGTTTTTGTTTTGTTTTGCTGGTAGAAGCAGATGTAGTAAAATTCCTACTAGATCAGTCTGAAGGCCAGAAGAGGGCTTTGTAGAAAGAACCAAGTAGGCTCTTCTGTGTTTTTGAGGCCACTGCGTTTGCCAAGTAGACATGGAAATGGCACAGCCTGTGCCCGACTCATGCCTTTATTCAGCTGGCAAATCCATAAGTCCCTCATCTAATGTAATACTACATTTGTGACATGTGCCAGATGATGAGCGAAAGTCGCCCCCAAGCTGATCAGCAGAGGGCTGGGATACACAGAGAGTGGGGAAAGAGAACGGTTAGGGTACAGGGTCACCTGTGGGACGTGGATTCTGTCTTAAAGGCCTGAGGAGATTTGCATTAAGGGAATAGGTCACCTTCTGGCATGCGCCCCGCACTTGGCTAACCCCCTTGTTCTTCCCCGTTCAGTCCGCCAGGTCTGCGCTCTCCTTCTGATGCTCACCTTTTCTCTCCCTCGCCGGTTCTGCCTACCCTCATCCTTTAAGACAGTTCACATTTTTGTTGTGTTTTTTGAGACAGGGTCTCACTATGTAGCCGTGGCTGTCCTGGATCTCACTCTGTAAACCAGGCTGGCCTCAGACTCACAGAGATCCACCTGCCTCTTGCTGGGATTAAAGGTGTGCACCGCCACACACTACCATCTCTTTATAAAGGCCTCAGCAGCCAACTGTCTGAGGCATACAGTATCTCATATAGCAATTGTGCTTGTGCCTCAGTTTCCCTCATGTGTTTTTTGAAGGCATGTGCTCTGTGCTCAAGTTCCCTTCCAAATCCTTAGTCCAGAGCCTTGTATGTTGAGAGCATTGCAGAGGGGATTTTGTGAACGGTGTCGAGCTGCACACAGGTGCATTCACTGCGGGCCTCCCCCCTTTCTGGATTGCTGTTGTAGGTCGCTAGCTCTGAACCCGGTGCAGAGACCTGAGATGTTCATCATTGGTGCTCAGCCTGTGTGCAGCCAGCTTCCGGGGCTTTCCCCGGGCCAGAGGAAGCTGTGTCAGTTGTATCAGGAGCACATGTCCTACATCGGGGAGGGAGCCAAGACGGGCATCCGGGAGTGCCAGCACCAGTTCAGACAGAGGCGATGGAACTGCAGCACTGTGGACGACACTTCTGTCTTCGGCAGAGTCATGCAGATAGGTAAGAGGCCACTTGAGCTCGGTGGTCACAGGCTGTGTGTCTTCATGCCTGGGGGCATGCCTCCTCCCCAACGATTGGTGCATTGATAGCATGAATGCAGGCCCTGCTGCATTCTTTCTGGGCTTGGAAGCGTGTTAGAAGGAAGAGGAAAGCCCCAGAGTTATTATAACAATAACTGCATCACCCTGGGTTCCTCTGTGACAGGCTCACCCCGGGGCTGTCTGTGACTCACTCTGGGAGGGAACAGAACATCTGAGTAAGGAGGGAGTAGGTTAGAGACCTGCCTGCCATGGCTGCCTTTGTCTCAGTGCTGGAAGGGTCTGTTAAGAAGTCTACAGAGTCTCAGGGTCGAAAAATCCCAAAACATCTGAGATTTTTCACTTCTTCCACTCGAGCTCTTGAGCAGGAGGTGAAAACTTGGTGCCAGATTGGTAACACCTGTCATTAACCAGGCCCAGGTCCCTCCTGGCTTTCTCCTTTGAGACAAGCTGTATGTGAAAGTGCTCAGCATCCCCCTCCCCCTATTGCCCAAATGGAGGTGTGATTTGAGTCTAATTGTCTTAGGTCCTTTTGAAATGCAATCCTCCCCTCCCTGGCAAGAAATTGAGAAACCAGGCCCTATTCTGCGGGGTCTTATCTCCAGGACCATAAAAGGAAGGTGTTGGTAGTCTTGTCTCTGCATTCTCCTTGGACAGCTCCCTATCCCTCTACGCATTCTGGAGTTAGCTGGTGCTGGGGCTTTCCCAAAGTAGGGTTCCAGCAGGATGCTTGGGGGCGCAGGTAGAGCTTTTAAAGTATTCTGTCTGGGAGAACCCACTCCCACTCCCACCCCCTCCCCCCACCCCCCCACACTCACTCCAGACATCTTCCCAAGCCTCAAATTGAAAAGTGAAAATAGAGAAATCTCCTTTGAACTCTGCCTTTGCCTTTGGGATTAGCTCTGTCTACATAGAAGGAATGTGCCTGTGTTCTGGGATGACCTCAGGGGCAGTTTTCCCAGAAAACTGACTCGGCTTTTAGAGGGATTTACTTACTGATTCTTGAGGAGTCCTCTTGGCACTCAAATCCCTCCCCTTGGCATAGTACCTGACCTGCCTACGCAGCTTTGGGTGAGACTATGAGACAAGGAGTGGCATCCTTGTCCTGCAAACACGAGGACCTGATTTGATCTCCAGCACCCACATACACGGCATGAGGACCCAATTCAATCTGCAGTGCTCACATAGAAACATGGGTGCAGCGAGGCATGCTTGTAATCCCAGTGCTGGAGAGGCAGAGATGGGCAGATCCCCCGCCTTGCTGGCAGGCAGCCTAGCCACATCTGTGAGCCCCAGGTCCTCGTGAGAGATCCTGTCTCCGAACACAACATGGGTGGCTCCTGAGAACAACAAAGGTTGTGAGGCAATGTGAAGGAGAGCTGCCTGGGAGAATTCAGAGACAGGACTAACACCTTTTTATTGTCCTGGGAATAAGAGCCAGTAGAATAGGGTCGGATTGGAATGCACTTGCACCCACACCCATTGCGCACACCTGCACATGCACATGGGGTGGGGTGTCGGGAGTAGACACTGTGAGTCTGATTGCATAGTAGGGGCCGTGTGCAGGGCAGGCAGACCTTACAAAGGAGCACATCTTGCTTTATCTACTTCAGTTACCAGCAGGAGCACTTTGGTCTGTCTGATTTTCCCTACTCTTCGGTTTTGTTTTGTTTTGTTTTTCTTTTCTTTTCTTTTCTTTTTTTTTTCATTGTTGTTGTTTGTTTGAGACCGGAGCTCTCTATATGGCCCTGGATGTCCTGGAACTCTCTATGTAGACCAGGCTGGGCTTGAACTCCCTAGAGATCAGCCCACCTCAGCCTCCCTAGTGCTGGGATTAAAGGCTTGTGCCACCACACCTCGGCTCTCCCTCTCCTTTTTGTAGCCTCCCTGAAGGCTCTCCTTGCCTGAGAAGATGTCCTTCCTCCTATGCCCCTGGGTAGCTCCTTCTAGAATCCTGGGTGGTGTCCCTAGGCTCCCTTCTTCTTGAAGCTACAGCAAGAGTCATCACCAGAGGGCAGCAGAGCAGCTCAGAAGAGCAGCCTTGCCTCGGGAGCCTCTGCCCTCTGAGCAGTGGGACAGATGAGGGTAAGACATTCTGTTTCCCTGGAGCTGGGAGATGTGAGGTCTCTCCAGTCGCTCTGTGGCCATGGCTTGTTAGCCTTGTATCTTTGGGATGGTTTGGCTTTACTTTTATCTGTGACTGTTTCATATTCTAGATACCTGCCCCCCTCCTCTCAATACACACACACACACACACACACACACACACACACACACACACACACACACACACACACACACACCTTATCTTACCTGCAGTGGGAAGCTCTCTTGCAGCAGATTTCTATGCAATACTCTCCTACCCACGACCCAAGTGCTGCCCCACGCAGTGAACACTGCATGCTCTCAGAATCTGGTTATGCCCCTCCAGCAGAGGCAGAATGAGTTCGGTGTGCTGGAGGATACTTTCAGATCCCAAGTCACCAGAACTCAGTTTGTGGCATCTGGTGTATTACATTCAGAGATGGGTCCATGACTTCAAAAGCCATTTGGAGAGGGCTGATTGGACTCTGGGAAGCATATTTGCTAAAGGAGGGTAAAAGAAATCAGACATCTGTAGCTTGGGAAAGGAACACATAAAAGGCATGTTTCTTGTTTTCAAACACTGGAGAGCTGTCAAATGGATGGGGGATTAGACAGTGCCGCTCCAGCAGGCAGAAATTACAAGGAGGCGTATTTTGGTTTCATATGAGAAGGAACTTTCTAGTGATAGAATCATTTTTAAAGGGAAAGGAAAAAAGATGAATAAGCTGCTTGGAAAGGCCAGCTATTCTTCTGAGGCATGCCGGAAGCTAATGCTTGTGGAGAATGGAAAGGGACCCTGTACTGGGGTGCCTAAGGCTCTCTCCTGCTCCAGGTGGTATGTCAGGGGTTGAGAGCATTTCTGGAAGACTTCTCAGGCATGGCTCATTCAAAACAGGGCCCAGTCTGCTTCGTTAAGCACCATAATGCTCTTCCAGAGGACCCAAGTTCAGTTCCCAGCACCTACATTAGACTGCTCATAACTGCCTATGACTCCAGCCCCAGGGGATCCAGTACCCTCTTATGGCCTCCACAGGTACTGCACTCATGTGCACATTTCCTTACGAAGACAAACACACATATACAATGTAAAATGAAACAGTTTTGTTTTTAAAGAACTTCTTGGACTATCTCAGCATTCACTGCCACAGTCAGCACTGGGGCAAGTGTCAGTCACAATGGAGCCTTCTACCATTAGGTGGAGGTTGCAGGGGGTGTTTACAAAGGACCAGAGCTGATCATGGTTAATTGTGAAAAACTAATTCACTCAGTGTGATCTGATTCCTGACATCACTGTGTAGTGCCAAGGTAATTGAAAAGTAGGGATCACTCCAGACCTTTCCTCTAAGATTCATTTTATTGTTTATTTATACGTACATATGTGTGCCTAAGTATGTGTATGAAGAAGCCAGAGGAGGGCATTGGATCCTCTGGAGCTGGGGTTACAGGGGCCCATGAGCCACCTGACATGGGTGCTGGGAACTAAACTCCAACCTTCTGCAAGAACAGCAAATATTCTTAGCCATGGAGCCATCTCCCTAGCCTTCATACCTTTTTTAAAATACTTTCTTTTTTTAACTATTTACTTATTTTCATTTTGTGTGCATTGCTGTTTTGCCCATGTGTATGTCTGTGTGATGGTGTCTTCTGAGCTGCCATGTGGGTGCTGGGATTTGAACCCGGGTCCTCCGGAAGAGCAGCCAGTGCACTTAACCGCTGAGCCATCTCACCAGCCAGCCTTCAGACCTTTTAATTGATTACAGGCTTCTGCCTCTTCACTCTCCAGGACAGGACTGTGGTGTCTGTCTCCTTCCCATTGTGGAGGCTTGGGGGAGTCACAGAGGGAGAACATTCTACCTGGTACAATATCAAGTCCAGGAGGAGTCTGTGACCTGCCAAGAAGCACCTCTCTCACTACCCCACACAAGTGTCCTTTGTTATTTGTTAAAACAGTTTTAAGGGGATGTCATTCGTGTCATATACAGTTCACCACTTAAAGGTGTACCGTTTAGTGGTCTTCAGTGTATTACTGGATGTGCGACTGTAACCACCAATTCCAGAGCATTTGTATCGCCCCTTAACTGTCGCTGTCTAACCCCCACCCCCAGCCCTAGGCTACAGCTAATCTCTGTGGATTTTTCCCATTCTGGACATCCCTATAAATAGTTTCAAACAATACATGATGACCTCTTCACTTGATGCAATTATTTAAAGGTTTATCCATGTCGTGGCATATGTTGGTTTTTCATTCCCATTAATATTTCACTGTATGGTTAATGGCACATTGTCCTTATCCGTCCATTGATGATAATTATTCTTTTTGTTCTTTTGTTCTTTTTTTTTTTTTTTTGGTGTGATCATTATGAATCATGCTGCAATGAGGATCCATGGGGAAACATTTGGACACATATCTTTGTTTCCGTTGGGCATATTTTTAGGAATGAAATTGCGGGGTCATCTGGGAACTCGGCTAACCCTTTCAGTTGCTGCTAGGCTGATTTCCAAAGCATCTGCACCCAATAACATTCTAATCCACAGTGCAACAGAGCACGTACCGTGGGAGGTTGTTTGTTTGTTTGTTTGTTTGTTGTTTTGTTGTTTTTCCAGACAGGTTCTCACTATGTAGCTCTGGCTGTCCTGGAACTCACTGTGTAGACCTGAAACTCACAGAGATCCACCTGCCTTTGCTTCTTCCCAAGTGTTGGGATCAAAAGCATGCACCACCGCCACCTGGCCCTGATGCTCTTGAATTGAGAGACATCGTGAGGCCCAGGGAAAAGAGAGGGAAAATGTAGGACTGTTGTCTAGTTCACTTTCTGTGCCTGGCCTCTGCCAGGGTCCCACTAGACAGGGACAGCCATGAAGAGGACAGACACACAGATGTGTAGCTTGTGGGTGGAAGAGAAATGGTGTCTGAAGGAGAAGCCATTCTTACTTGGGTGCGGGCTTGTTCTGTTAATCTCATAATTTCTTCTTCACTCTCATCCTGATAGCCCCAAATGGTCCATATGTTGCAGGAAGCCCACCCTCCCTCTCCTTACAGCTCCCCCAAGGAGTGGCTGAAGGGCCCTAGAAAGTACGATGGATTGAGTGTTGACCAGGCCTGGGGGGTGTCTGAGTAGAGCTGGGGCCAAGAGGCAGAAGTCAAAATGGGCCAAGGTCAGCCCGTTGCAAAGAGTGTCTAACCCTCCGTGCTGTGGAAAGGGCAGGCATTCATTCCCCTGGGACACTGGTTCCCACAGGGCAAGCCTCAGCCAAGCAGAGGGAAGGAGAGGCCATCAGCAGAGGAGAGTGGCCTGCTGACCTTCTCTTGTCCCTTGCTGCAGGTAGCCGGGAGACTGCCTTCACCTATGCAGTGAGTGCTGCTGGTGTGGTGAATGCCATCAGCCGTGCTTGCCGAGAGGGTGAGCTGTCTACCTGTGGCTGCAGCCGGACCGCCAGGCCCAAGGACCTGCCACGAGACTGGCTGTGGGGTGGTTGTGGGGACAATGTGGAGTACGGCTACCGCTTTGCCAAAGAGTTTGTGGATGCCCGAGAGCGTGAGAAGAACTTCGCCAAGGGATCAGAGGAGCAAGGCCGAGCCCTCATGAACCTGCAGAACAACGAGGCTGGCCGCCGGGTAAGCCATGTCGTCCTCACTGCCGAAGAGCTAAGGGTGTAGACCTGCACCCTTGTCCCTGAGCTGGCCCCACTTCTAGTGTAGTTGTCTGTCTGTCTTTCTTTTTTTTGATTTTTCAAGACAGGGTTTCTCTGTGTAACAGCCCTGCTGACCTGGAACTCACTCTGTAGACCATGTTGGCCTCGAACTCACTTATATCTGCCTGCCTCTTCGAGTGTTGGGATTAAAGGCATGCGTCACCACCGCCCAGCTATTGTCTTTCTTTTTAGGGATGTGGAGTAGTTTTTTGTTTGTTGGTTGGTGGTTGTTTGTTTTGGGATAGGATCTCACTCTGTAGCTCTGGCTGGAATGCACATTGTAGACCAGGCTGGCCTGAAACTCAAGAGATCCACCTGCCTCTGGCTCCTGAGTACTGGCCTTTTGTTTTGTTTTTGTTTGTTTGTTTGTTTGGTTGGTTGGTTGGTTGAGTTTTTGAGACAGGGTTTCTCTGTATAGCTCTGGCTGTCTTGGAACTCACTCTGTAGACCAGGCTGGCCTTGAACTTGGAGATCCACTTGTCTTTGCCCTTCAAGTACTCAGATTAAAGGCATAGGCCACCTCCAACTAGCTTATATTTGTTTTTAAGACAAGGTCTTACTTGTTGCCCAGGCTGATTTCAAACTCCTGGCCTCACGACATCCTCCTGCCTCAGCCTCCCACGAGCTGGGACTACAGGTGTCCGTCATACTCCTGGCCCCTGGCTGTCATTTTTCTGACTTTGTCACTTCAGAGGGACATCGGTCCCTCCAGGACTGAGGTGCAATGCTTGCTCTTGGCCAGCCCTCCTCATGATGATGGGATGTTTAGGCCATTAACCCTAGCCCGGGAGAACGGTCCGTTACAGCATCAGGTGAGCCTGGGCCTGACTCTGAAGAGCTGCTGGGAGCAGATACAGAGCCTCGGCCCAGACACACGTGGGTAATGGCGGATGCACTCTGTATGGGCGGTTTTAGGCTGGAGTGGGGGTGAGGAAACACAACTGTCTTCTAAGCTTCGGGTTTAGTAGGAGATAAACCACGGGTGACTTGTCACAGCAGCACATGCCTGGTTGTCATCATTCCCTGTCCTCTCCCATTGTCCCCATGACCTCTGGGGACAGCACGATGGCAGGTCTACCCTTTATTCCTTACAGCTTCCTCAGATGGCGTCTCTGAGCACGGCTGCCCCACTGAGGCCCATCATCCGTCTCTTCAGCTCTTGAATGCCCACTTTCTTATCCTCTTTCAAGGTCGGACATCTATAATCCCATGTACAAAGAAGGCTGAGGCAGGAGGATCCCTTGAGCCTAGTTCAGGGCCAGGCTGAGTGTGACCCTACCTCAAAAACAAAACAAAATAGGTCTGAACTCAAAGGCCACCCAGACCTTAAAGTCTTTCCCACTCCCTACAGGCCTCTTGCGCCTGAACCTGAGTGGAGCATGCTACGCTTTTCTTGAGGTATTTCTCGACCTCCTTTTCTCTGGTGAAGGTCGGTTACGCTGGCTGTGGTTCTTTGTAACACCCTTTACCTGGCTTTGCACGGTCGGGCACATGAGTACGAGAGCAGTTTCTGTGTTGTCTCCTAATGGGTCAGGAAGAGGTCTGCTTCACAGAACGAGGGAGGGGCTGTGTGACAGCCCTGCTTTGAGCTCCTATCTGGCACTGTGGCAACGTCAGGAGGCAGGAAGCATTCTGACTGGACTGAAGGTGGAGGGGAGACATGGTCTCCCTCCCTTCGCTTCCCAGTTTGACCCTACTTTGGCTGGCCCCTCGTTTTATTGCCCTTAATCATTTGTTTGCCCTGGCCCCTTCTCTGCGGCCTTCCTCTGTCTGTCCGGCCCTTTGATGACCTCTTTTCCTGCCTTGCTGTGTCTGGCTCCCAGGCCTTAGCTCCTTCCCCAGAACTGCACACCTCTTCCTCAGCCCTTTGTCTCTCCCTCTGCCACAGACCGCTCCAGGGTGGGAATACTTGTCCCTCTGTTTTTTTTTTAATCACTGTCCAAGGAACTCCAACTGTCAATCACCACCTGGGACAGCGGTATCATGTTTAGCTCCCACCTCCTCATACGCACAGGAAGTTCTCCAGGGAGCATTGCACAGTGGCAGGGTTGAAAAGAGCCCAGACTAGTACTTTAAGACCAAAAGAAGCAAGAACAGCAACAGACTATCTGCCATCTGCCATCTTGCCCACCAGCAGAAGTCCCATGTGCTTTGGCAGAAGCCTCTCTGGGCCCATAAGCAACTCTGGCAGCTTCCTCTGGACAGAGGGGCAAGACCAGCAAGCTGGTACTGCTCAACCACACAAGGATATCTATGCAGATAAAAAGGCCTGCCAGGAGGTGGTGGCGCAGGCCTTTAATCCCAGCACTCAAAATGGAGAGGCAGATGGATCTCTGAGTTCGAGGCCAGCCTGGTGTACAGAGCGAGTTCCAGGACAGCCAGGGCTACACAGAGAAACTCTATCTCAAAACAAAAAGCACTCAGGGAGGGTGGCAGCCTGGGTCTGACACTGGTGACATACTCGTCGTACCAAGTATGGTACTATATGAGATAAATGTGGCCTGGGACTTTAATATTTGGGGGAGTAGGGGGCAAAAAAAAAAAAAAACCCAAAAGCAAAAACAAAAACAACACTTACCTGAGACAGGGTTTCACTGTGTAGCCCTAGCTACACAGCAAGTCTGGAACTGGTTATGTTCCAGGCTGGCCTTGAACCCACAGTAGTCATCCTGCCTCTGTTTTTCCAGTACTAGGATAATAGGCATTAGCCACCAAGCTCAGATCTTTAAAAAAAAAAAAATTGGGAAGGGGTATTAAGAATGACACAGGTCTCTTTATGTAGCCCAGGCTAGCCACAAACTCGTGGCAATCCTCCTTTAGCCTCCTAGAGTGCTGGGATTACAGGTGTGACTACCACACTACTAACTGGGACTGAAACTTTTTTTTAAATAGCATTTTGTCACCTTTTGTGGCTCTGGGGATCAAACTGAGGGTCTTACACATGCTAGGCAAATGTTCTAGCCTGAACTACAGCCCCAGCCCCATACTGTATTAGTGTTTTTAGTAAGCAGGAAGGGCCTCACATTAGCATTCCGTTCTCCTTCTTCACAGAAATATCAGTAATAAAACACAAAAAAAGGAACAAATGCTACAATTTCTGCAGTGTCTTCAACTAGGGCAAGGACAGGGTGGATTTCTAAATAGTGAAGGGAAACAGCATTTTTCCTTAGACTTGTGTGAGGATCCCGTCCGGATCTGTGAGCTGGTTCCTCCCTCCCCTGTCCCCCAGTGTTTATTCCCGTTACAGACATTTATCCTGTCCCCTGGTGGCTCAGCCGCCACTATGTGCACAGCCACAGACCCTTAACACTTCCCTTTCCACATCACCAGATGCTGCTGCTTCCGTAAGCCAAGGGCCATTTCTAGAGAGAGGCAGGCTAGAACCCAGGCCTGTGACTTAGGCCAGAAGCTGACTGCAGAGACTCTCTGTGAAGTTCCTGGTGACAATGGAGAGGGGAGCTGGGGGCGGGTTGTCCTTGGTAGTTGTCAGGCTAAGTGTTGGTGCCTTTCACCTTGGGGGAAGGCCTCCCTCCCTTTCCTGTGCTAAGCTAACGTAGGCTACCAGGTTGGAATTCAGAAGTGATTGTGCTAGCTCCCTTCTGCATGGGCCCGATGGGTTCCCATGACTCTCTAGAGATTGTTTCTCCACTGAAAAGTCCAGGGAATAATTCCCCATTAAGAAAACAACCTTTTAAACAGTCCAAGAGCTGCTGGTGGCTGCTGTTTCTGGCACCTGTGGCGGTCTCTGCTCAGCGTTGAATAAAGACACGATCTGGGAACTCTTGAAAAGAAATCTAAGGGAAACCCTGGAGAAATGAGCCCCGACTCTGTTGGGGACAACAGCTGTGGCCAGGAAAATGTTCTGAGGCAGAGATGCATTTTTATCCTGCCTTCTGTACCGTGGGACAGCTGCCAAGGCTGATGCATCAGTGTTCTTTTGTTGAAAAGTACTTAGTGACCAGCTCTGTGCTCTACTCTGCTTTATAAATTTGATTTTGAAACAGCCCAAGTTCAAGTCCACTCCACAATGTTAAGATTCAGTGACTTCCAAAGTCAGTTTGTTCTGGAACAAATGCTCCTATGGGTGGACTCACCACCCTGCTCACTGGCATAGGCTTTACCTTACCCCGTACTCCCAGCCTCCCCTAGCCGAGTGTGAGGGGTGGGGTGGGTGGTCCCGTTGACAGATGTGGTGGCTCCTAGGAAGTTCCTGCTAACCAAATGTCAACCCTAGGACGGAAACCATTCAGTCTGGGAGGACTTTGGTAGGGTCTGGGAGGACTTTGGGCTAACCCAGGCCATGCCAGCATGTGCAAAAAAAACGAATCCTTTCTCTTCTGACGCGTGCTCCATATTGTGCAAAAGCTAGACATGTTTTGTTGGGTTTTATCTGTTTGAAAATTGGATCAACAGAGAAAAATTTGAGCCAGGAGCAACAGCTCACATCTGTAGTTCCAGCTGCTCGGGAGACTGTGGCAAGATCACTTGAGCCCCAAAGTTTGAGAACAGCCTGCACAACATAAGAGGATTTCGTTTAAAGAAAATGGAGGATGGGGAGGGGAGAGGTGGGGAGGTGGGAGAGATGTAACTCAGTGGGTGGAGCGATTGCCTACCGAGCATAAGGACCTGGGGTTGATCCCCAGCACTATATCAACTGGTGAGGGTGACACCTGCCTACAGTCTCAACACTGAGGAGCTAGAAGTGCAAGGATCAGACGTTCAAGGATCAGGGAGATGGTTCAGTGGGTAGAACCAATTGCTACCCAAGTCCAGTAAACCCACTGGGGTCTCCAGAACCTATAAAAGCTCCATGCAGTAATGCACATCTGTAACCCCAGCACTTCTGCAGCAAGGTGGGAAACAGAGCCTGGAATCACCTGGCAGTGTGTGGGCCAGCTAGCCTGGAGCACGTGGTGAAGCAGCAGAGATCAGAGGGGCCAGCAAGGTGGCTCAGTAGGCACAGCACCCGAGTGTGAGCCTTGGAACCCACGGAAAGGTGGAAGGAGAGAACCAAGTCTTCAGAGCTGTCCTCTGACCTTTGCGTGCACAGGAATAATATCATGAGAGAATGAGACAAGAGAGATCCTGCCTCAAAACAAGGTGGAAGTCAAGAACTGACTACCCAAAAGTCCTCTGGTGTCTATGGGAGCACCATGGCACGTGTTCACCCACTGTCTCTGTCTCTCTGTCTCTGTCTCTGTCTCTCTCTCTCACACACACACACACATTTTAAAAAAGAGTTTTTTTGAAGATGGATATTTGGGAGTACTGTAGGAGTTGGTTGTCTCCTTCTACCTTGTAAGCTCCAGGGATCAAACTCAGGTCGTCAGACTTGGCAGCAAGGCCCTTCTCCTGCTGAGTCCGCTGGCCCACCTCTCCACCTACTTAACCTTGTCTGTGAAGGAAGGCTTCTCCCTCTTACTCCTCTTTCTCCTCCCCCAGGCTGTGTATAAGATGGCTGATGTCGCCTGCAAGTGTCATGGAGTCTCCGGGTCCTGCAGCCTCAAGACCTGCTGGCTTCAGCTGGCTGAGTTCCGCAAGGTGGGGGACCGGCTGAAGGAGAAGTACGACAGCGCCGCGGCCATGCGCATCACCCGCCAGGGCAAGCTGGAGCTGGCAAACAGCCGCTTCAACCAGCCCACGCCGGAGGACCTGGTCTACGTGGACCCCAGCCCTGACTACTGCCTGCGCAACGAGACCACGGGCTCGCTGGGCACCCAGGGCCGCCTCTGCAACAAGACCTCAGAGGGCATGGACGGCTGCGAGCTCATGTGCTGCGGCCGCGGCTATGACCGCTTCAAGAGCGTCCAGGTGGAGCGCTGCCACTGCAGGTTCCACTGGTGCTGCTTCGTCAGGTGCAAAAAATGCACGGAGATTGTGGACCAGTATGTCTGTAAGTGACGGCGCCCATGCCTCCCGCCCACTCCTCTCTGCCTCACAGAAGTCTATATTATATAAATCTATCTAAATATATTTTATATTTGTACAAATGACTGGATGGGTGATACATACCCTAGAGAGGAAAATGGAGAGGAAGAACTGAAGAGACGCTGGCCCTCTGTGAGGACTGGGCTTTGCTGGTCATCTCTAGCTGGTGGGAGCGAAATGGGCTTTTCCCTGCTTTCTGGCCGGAACTCTCAGGACGCAGGGGCTTGAGGGTGTCTATGCGCCATAGCCTCTAGGGAAGAGGCGGTGATTGGATGAAGGAGATGGGCTTGTTTCAAATCTGCAGTCCTTTGGGGAAGATGAGTATGACCCTGGCCAGGAGACCCAGGGGCCCTGTGGAAGGTGGAGGCCTGACAACCCCGATGGTGGCCCAGGTCTTCCCCAGCATGGAGACAGCCTTAGCAAGGGTCCCAGTCCTTGCTACTTTTCTCCTCCGAGTACACACAGTTGCAGGAAAGGAAGGCTCCTCCTCCCCCCCCCCCCCCCCCCCCCCCCCCCCCCGTACTGGGGAGAGGTCTCAAGTCACTCTGGCTGGTGACTTTAAGGGACCTGTGCCTCCCTGGACTCTGGATCTGTGTTCTGATGAGAATGTCACCAGCTCCGGCCACAAGCTCCTAGGCCAAGAGAAAGATGGTCACTTAGCCGGCCACACCAGGGAAGACGTGAAGCAAACCTGGGTTTTGACTGGGGATGAAGCGCTTGTTGTACTGCCTGCTTGCACGGGGCAGGAAGCTGTTGTTGCTGCTGCTGTAGCTTCCTCTGTCAGGGAGGCCTCACGAACAACAGGGCGTGCTGGCAGGTCAGCTCTGCTGCTTTGTGTGTTCCTCATCTCTGCCCAGATGTACAGTGTTCCTCTGACATTAAATATCCTTTACTGAGGTTTCTCTCCCTCCCCTTATTCGGGCCCACAATTATCTCTCATGATTCTCATTTGATATTTTACTTATTTTTTGGTGCTAAGGATGAAACTCAGGATATCCTGATGTTACAGGGTTTGTAGTCCCTAGGGGAAGACCATAGACTCAATCTAATTATAATTAAAGATTTATTTATTAGCTGTTAGCAGGACGAACCATCTCTGAGCCAAATTTGAGATTGCCGTGAGAAGGGAAACAAGGGGAGGGTTTTTAAAGGGGAAAAACCACAAGAAGACTTTTCAATATCTATGCAAGCAAGCACAAACTGATCGGTTCTGCCAAGTTAAGTGAGCCCAAACAGTCTTTGGGTATCTACGTAAGCAAGTTACAGAAGCTAGAAAGACACTTAGTCATATCAGAATTAAGTAGGGAGTCATGGCTGTACATTTTTTGCTAGAGATCACTGAGTCAAGGTTATTGGGAAACTATCTTCCAGGGACTGGAGTCAGAGACAAATGGCTGGTGGACACCAAGATGGATAGCCCACATTTTGAGTAATCCTTTTTGTAACTCTCTGATTTTAACAGGTACTTGTAGTACTGAAGGAGCGTGGAGGCCAGCATGCACTTTGGTATGCTAATAGGTGCCATAGATAGCCATTTGTCATTTTTAACAGTGACAGGAAAATGGCTCCTTTGGTAGAAGGGAACTAGTTTCTTTGGATCTAACATTCTAGCCTTTTGTTAATGATAAGGGGCACCATAATCTCTTCTGTAACTGCTTCTCAGCTGAAATAGGACATTGTTGTTAGGGCCCAGGAAGGCTGGAGTGCCAGTCAAAGGCCAGGAAGGGACAAATTACATCTGGTTTGCTGTCCAGGTTCTGTGGACCACCTGGGGCTAGTGAAGTTCAGGTAGCTTTGAAGCAGTCTGGAATGCTGGTCCAAAGCTGGGGCTCAAGCTGGTAGGAAATTTTGTCAGAAGCATCTGGTTTACATTAGCTTTCAGTCCAGGGCCTGCTAGTTTCAAAGGACCATCTGAGGCTGGTGTGTTTGGAGCAGTTTGTAGTCTTTAGTTAATTGGAAATCTAGACTAGAAACAGAAGGTAAAGTTAAGGAGCTTAGGGGAAAATCTTAACTCCATTGATTAATGTAAAAACTTTGAACTTTTGAAGTCTTAATATAATAATAGCATAGCGAGAGGGAAAGAAATCTGAAAAATTTTTTCATTGTTTTATGTGTACCTTGAATCATTCTCTTAGACCTTTGTAACTTGCATTTACATACCTTAAATCACTTTCTCAGACCCTCACAACTTACTTAAGCTTTCATATGCTCAGACCTTTATAGACTTTAAATTACTTTTTTAGATCCTCTATAACTTATTTTCTATAAGCTTTTCTATCCTTAGACCTTTACAGCTTGCATCCTACATCTTTTCCTAGACCTTTATAAATGCCATTTTTTCCCTAATTATTTTACCATGCTACGTAGGCGGTTGATTACTGAGAGCAGTCATTGCTACAGTGAGCCATCAATATCATCAGAGATCTCAGAAAGATAAATCTGAGCAGGACGTATAATCCAGATGGCTGCTGTATCAATTAAAATGACAGACCTTTCCTAAGTGGTTCCCTAGGCTCCTTCATGGTGGCCTTGGGGACGGAGGTCGTTGGTCTTCGACAGTCACACAGAATAGCATTAAGCCTTTCGTTGCCACACAGGGCAGCTTTAGCCTTCAGCTGCCAGACACAGAAGACCTAAGATTTTGTGGATGAAGAGCTTGAGAGACTGGCTACCTTGGGAAGCAAAGAGAGACAGTTCTTCCGTGTCCTGCTTGTCCACAGTTTGGGTAGGGTCCTGATGGCAGGTGAGGCATATGGCAGTTCTTTGCCAGCAGCTAGCATTACCATAATTAAAGGGGAGTCATTTGTGCCCCGTTGTCTTATTTGGAGGAGACCGTAGGGTTGCTTCTTAGGAGCTGGCAGCTAGCAGTTTTCTCTATGATGGGAAGCTTTTTTTTTTTTTTTTTTTTTTTTTTTTCATTCAGAGTTTTCCTGTGTAGTCCTGGCTGTCCTGGAAATCGTTTTGTAGACCAGGCTGGCCTCAAACTCAGAGATCTGCCTGCCTTTGACTCCCAAGTGCTAGGATTAAAGGTGTGCACCTCCACACTGGACCACATGTTTTGGTTTTTTTTTTTAAACTTTTTATTTATTCAGTGTGTCTTTCACATCTTGATCCCATTCATTTCCCTGTCCAATCACATCTACCCTCTACTCCTGCAAACCCCGCCCCCAATAAAACAAAATCTAAGAGAAGAAAAGGAAAAGGAAAAAAAAGTAAAAATCTCCTCATGGAAGCTGCAGCGTGACAGTGAGTCATGCCGTGAACCCCTTTGTCCGTATTTCTTTACTTGCAAGTGTTCATTGTGAAGAGTCATTGGTCTGCTTCCAGGACTCTGGTTTCTGCTATACCATCGATGGCTGGTCCCTCACTGAGACTCTTCTTGGATATCCTGTTGTTGCCCTGTGTTGTGGAGATCCTGCAACTTTGGGTCTGCAGGTCAGGCCCCATCAGCAGATCATAGATGGGGTGGATGTTGGGGTGGGCCAATTCATAATCCGGGTTCTGGGTCTGGGCAGCTATAGGGTTGGTCAGCCTGCCAGTTCTCCTCTGGCATCACCACCAGGGTGAGCTCTTCAGCATTGCCCTGGCTAATTCACCCTTGCACCAATGAGCAAGGGATGGGGCCAGTTCTGCTTTCACGCCCTCAGGGTCGGCTCTCCCCAACCTGTACCATCAGGGCCAGCTCACTGTGTTGCTCAGGCGAGGTGCAGGGGCCACTCTCCCAAGTGCTGCAGCCCATGCCACCACATGTCAGCTCTCCCTTGGAGAGATATGTAGAGACAGCTCTCCCTTGTTCACAACCTCGGGCTGGGTCACCACACCTCCAATAACAGGGCCAGCTCTGCTGTGCTGCCTAGGCAAGGGGCAGGGCCCACCTTCCTGAGTGCTGCGGCTGGCGAGGGGGAGGGTCATCTTGCTCATTTGTTGCAGACAGTAAGGGGTGGGGGATAAGGGGAGGAGCCCTCCCCCACCCCCACCGCCACATGACGGACAGTAGTGGGGACAGCTCTCCCATGATTACAGCTTCAGGGCAGGCTCACCCACACCTCTGCCAACAGAGTTGGCTCTACTGTGTTGCCCAGGCAAAGTGCAGGGCCTGCTCTCCCGCTCTTGGGACCTCAGGGCCAACTCTCCCACCTGCCTCAGGCATTGGTGGTGGTTGGGGGGAACATATATTGTTTTTAATCTAAAATTTTTAGGACAAAAATTATCATCTAAAAATCCACCCTAATCCAAAATATCTCAGAGATCTGTTGTCTCCTTAGTCTAAAAAGGAGGTAATGAGTTGATTTTGAGTTACGTAAAAGCATGCACTAGCAAATCAAGATGACCTGGGTATAGGTTTTTAACTATTAACCTTTATGTTACAAGTTTTAAACTAATTTTTTTTGCTTGGAATTTTACAAGTTTTTCTGGCCCCCTCACCTCCACCCCCGGCAATGGTTTTACAGATCCCAAGAGAAAGAGTTTGAAATACCCATGACCTTGAATGGGGGAACATTTTTTGTAAACAAGAACCAAGAAAGGGGGAACAGGTCAAAGAGCTGGACATTTTTATTTACATTTAGCCATCCTAATTTTATAGGAATCCTTTTTTGATTACAAGACATAAATAACATGACAAATAAACTTACCATTTGTTGTAAGAAAATTTTCCTAAGGGGGTGTGAAACAATATCTGGAGTCTTTACCCACAATATATAACCGTATTCTCATTGTTGCATGGGTGGACCCCCTCCTTAGTCTTAGTTTTTAGCCTATATATTTTTTTAAAGATTTATTTATTTATTATGTGTATAGTGTTCTGTCTGCATGTATGCTTATAGGCCAGAAGAGGGCACCTGATCTCATTCTGGATGGTTGTGAGCCACCATGTGGTTGCTGGGAATTAAACTCAGGACCTCTGGAAGAGCAGCCGGTGCTCTTAACTGCTGAGCCATCTTTCCAGTTCCCAGTTTTTAGCCTATACGCCACAGTTTCTCCATAAAACTTTAAAGCCTCATGCAGTGATGCCATATTTGCATAGGACCTGCTGGGAGAGGCTACTGAGTGCTCAATTGAAGGTTCAATGACTTTGCCTATCTCCTTTATTTGAAGGAATACTAACTTTAAGGAGTCCAAGTCTGATCATTTTAAGCAGGCATATCTGGAGTTATTACTAAGAGATTTTAAAAAGGGTTTGATTTTATCACCAGTGTGTGTGTGTGTGTGTGTGTCTACAGATGGAGGCAGACAACCTGAAAAGCTTAGTAAGTAGTTTTTCTTATGCGGTCATTCAGTTGCAGAATAATGTAAGTATCTGTTATTAAACAGAAGACTATAATAACGACATATTTACAGGAACTCAGAAAATTTTGGCATCAGGTTGTTTTTGTTTTCTTTATGGATTTTTGCTTTATGGATTTTTAACCATATCAAGCTTACAAATCTTAAAGTACAGAAAGTTTATATTTTAGCTGTTTTAAAGCACACAGTACATTTCTTGGGCTGTTTGTTTGTTTGTTTGTT